AAATGTTATTTGTACAATAATATTTGTATAATAGATGTGTGAAAAACCAATTGGATTTACTTTTACTTTGCTTTATTTTTTTGTTCTTATTTCATTTAAAAAGAAAAAACTATCAATCAGACTAGTTCTACATTGATGATTAAAAAAATCGAGAAAGGATGAAGAAGTTCGCATAAGACTCACAAGTAATTAAAGTAGAACACATAATAACGGAATGGGCAACGAGATCTTTGCTTCGGGCATTCGCCATGATTATTATTGTCGTACGTGTTTTTTCTGTCATTCTCCAACAAAGTGTGCCGATTTTATAGCGATCAAAAGACGCTGCCACTCGCTCGAGATAATCTCCTGATTAATGTTGTAGAACGAGAAAGAATAATACTTCTATGTTCTCGAATAGATTCGCACGTGCACGAATCGTTTAAAATTAGAACAGCCAATATTATTCTATGACTCAGAGAAAAAAGAAGAAAAAAAGAGAAAAATAGGTATTGTGACTCATACGTGTAATGTTAACAGTCATACCAGATCATTGCCATTGTCGTACTTCATTTAGATTTTTATAACATACTCATCTATTAAGCAACAATACGACAATTGCTCACATCGCAAGAGCTTACGAAATAAAGTATTCTCATTTAGCAATGCTGATGAAGCAATTCTGAATATCTATCTTGGTGTCTCCCTCGAAGGATCGTGACCATCCGTACGTGAAAGCGAGGTACGCCCGATCGAAGTGCTTCGATCGAACAATTAAACAATTGTCAGGGCTGACCCACTTCTCCACCAGGACACGTTGTCCTTCCTCGTTGTACGTACGCCATCGTACGTAGCATGGCACTTTCGATCTACAGTACAGATCGTTCAGATTAAAATCGCTCGATCGCGTGCGTTCAGCTTATTTGGTAAAACGATCAAGTGCAAAGAAGAAGCTACCGGCAACATAAATATAATACGTTCGGCAAACAAACAAAGAAAAGTATAAATTATATTTAATAATTTATATATAGATATATAATTGTTTCCATACTACAAATTTTCTGAAGATATGCACGAAGTCTTTATAATACATAATTAGCATTAGATTCATCATAAACTATTACTTACATAAAGTTTAAATACTAATTATTCAAATTATACTACATAAGATGATCCGAGAGAAATGCATCTAATATTAGGTCAGGCAGGAACGTTTTATCATCGAATTTTTATAAGCACTTAAAATATACCAGTCGAGATCTTAACGCATTTCAAACTACAAGCATATTAACGTCGTGCTTACGGGGAAATTGTTCCGATTAATAATTAATCAGTTCGATAATGTTGTCTCATGTTATCGCCTGCGTGATACTACCTGGTTTCTTTATTACCACTTGCCGATGATAGATGGATCGATCCAGACGAAGCGTTAAACTACCCATTACCACTACGCATTCCCGATCGCATCATCGCGTAGTTAATAAGATAATAAGTACCACGCTGGGGATGAATAATCGCGATAGGACGCCCTGGAGCCGCGCCGGTCTCCACGCGAGTACGTCGCGCGCGGCGGCGATTAACCACAGCAATAAGGAAGCGTTCACATCACGGATTAATTGCAGAGTCTCCTTTATAGTTTTCGATGCGAAAGAATGCACTTAGGACGAATCGTTGATTAGTTAGCCGGTATTTCTCGATTGGCATTTCACAACGGTATACGCCACGGGAATTCAACGTCGGGATATTTCAATTCCACGCCTGTTTCCCAATGGACCGAGACATGCAGATGACTTGGGAACGCGTTTCCTTTTACGACCAAAAACCGTCGAGGGCAGACGTTATCGATTGATCAAAATTACAATCATGACGTTAAGTAGTGACTTCGTCAAAGTGAAAGTCCGACGGCTGCTGTATTAACGCCGTCGTCGACTCGTCTCGGTTATGTCGGGTGTATACGACTTCGCGCGGCCGCGTACACGGCGGCACACGGGCAGCACGCATCTTGTATCTAATTATCGAGGAATGCTTTGTGCGTGTAGGAAGCCGCGCGCCGGCCGTCCAGGCTTAACAACTCAGCAGAAGAAAAAGAATCGAGCCCACGAGATTGAGCGGTACACGCACGCACTTACTTGATACACGTACGACATTTCGGTCAATTTCGCACTCGCGCCGTTTCTTCCTCTTTTTCTTCTCTTTGCGGTGGTTTTTAAGGAGTGTTAAAGAATATATTATCAAGAGATAATTCGGCGACCTGAAAAAATGTGGGACTTGATAATTTCGAAAAGAAGAGATTGAAGGAACATTAATTCGACGTACTGCATTCGAATTAATGTCTCCTATAATTCTTCTCTTAACCTCAATTTTTTTAATTACTAAATAATCGCTAACATAAAATTCAAGAATCATGAATATATTTATTCAAATTATTCTAAGAAGAAAAATAACATCGCTGCTCTTTGACTGACTTTGATTGTGCATTGAATCAATTAGATACAACAGTTTGTCAAACATCCGCAGAGGTCCTTAGACGTTTCGAATTTATTTGAATTAAAAACAGGGAACGCAAAGTGGAAGTAAAGACTATATTTATGAGCAATCTCTTTTCTCTTTAGCACTAATCTAATCTCGTAATTTCGACGAATGTTGTTCCCCGTGTTAATCGTTTTGGACGTCTTGATGATGGAGGAATATGAAAAAATGGTGAAAATTATAGACCCGAGTATCGCGAACCGCCCAGGTCATTCATTCACACTCGGGTTCCCAAAGGGAGGGCCATGCTTTACGTTCCCATGATGGATAATTAATAATTATAAAGCGATCAAGGGAAGGGTGGCATTTATGCGATCCGCCACGGTAATTTCCGATTCGCTGGTGCACGAAAGATGCGAATTCGTGCCAACCTCGATTTTGTTTTCACTCTAGAGGGCTCGTTAAGAAGGAGAGAAGCTGCACATATGTGCATAAAATCATGATTAGATGATGGTTCCATTTAGTGCGATGCAAACCCGCGGAAAAACGCGCATTCATTTCGCGTGTAAGAATAAAAAACAAATTTCTAACGTTATATATATCGTATATAATTATTAAAGGAAGATCGTTGGTATGTTTCACAAGACAATTTTCAATAATTGAAGGTTTACTCTCCAGAAAGATGTATAATCCACATAAATGCACAAAAACACATTTGCATTACAAGAAATAAAAAAATAAAATAAAATAAAAATAGACACTTTAAGAGAAACGAGACGCATACAATGTGAAATGTATGTTATAAATATCACTTTTCTGCCAACAAACTATGTATTGAGAAAATTTGAAAGTTTGTAATGAAGATGTCGAACAATATATCGTTCCTCGATCATTCTCCATTCTAGACCGTTTATCGATTCGCGCAATCTTGCCTCGTATTATCGATTATACTCGGACGCGTTGGTAACGCCAATCACGTCCCCAGACTCGGTCGTCATTATGGAAATAGTGAGTGTAATGCGTCGGGGAGGCAGATGATTGCGCGCGTTCGCCAATCTTCGTAGCGTCTAATACGAGGAAAATGCGTTAACATGCGTGTTTGCTTTAGGCATTTCTTGGAATCAGCGATCGCGAACAAACTACTCAGTCTACTGAAATTACTGGAGAAATCATCAAGTATAATTTTATACATTAAATGTTTTCGTTTAACTAAGTTCATAATATTTCTCTTGAATCTTTCGTCAGAAAAAATCAAATCCAAACTCAATAGGGAATCTACCTTTTACAATAAGACATTGTGTATACGCAAATGATCATGATAGATATTAAAAGGAAATTATTTTTCTAGATAAATAATAAATTATAAATAAATATCGCATAAAGTCAAGCTATTCTCGATACTCAAAGAGCGCGATTCTCTCGATACCACTGACAAAGCTGCATCGTATTTGCAAAGGACCAAGGAATAACAAGTCGGAGATGTTCATTGGCGAAGCTAACGCTCCGCAAAAGATCGATGAGAGATCGAATGTCAACACGAGAGATCGTTCGACGGCTAGGTATACATATACAGCGCCGAGATTTTCGAAGCGAAAGTTCATTCGTGGAAGTGAGGATAGGGAGCCCTTTGTGCGTCTTCCATTGTCGACTGAGGGAGGCTGACTGGCTGAATTCAATGCAAGTCGCGCTCGAAAGAGTGGCCATACGCGGCTCAAAGGGAGGATAGTCGGCGTATACGAGTCAGTATAAGCATTGCGTGCAATAACTTCGGTGTAATCGTCGAGAAACGAGTTAGGAGAGCGGCCATGTACGGTGGGCTTCCATACGCACGCGAAATAACAAACCATATAGCAATACATCAATAAAATCGTCTAATTCAAGGCCACGTCGATGTATAAACAACGCTCATAATTAACATGCTAATCTAAATCATGATCCTTCTCTCTCTCTTTCTCCCTGGCTCTCTCATATGTGGAAAAATATATAGATATTTGAATTATAAGAGCAATATTAATATTTTTGTTTTATTACGTACACAAAAAAAATGATTTTGCTGAAGTATTTATGTAAAAATTTATAACTAGATACAAATTTAAAAATAATTTTAGGAGCATCAAAATAATGATGTAAGAATGTCAAGCATGATGAGCAATGTTGCGAAAGCATTTGGCATTCTAGTAACTAGTTTGAGCGTCCTACAAAATTATTTCGATTACCCAACAAAATTATTTTTAGATTCATATCTAGCTACGATAGATAATTTTTAGATTCTTCAAAACCTTTCCGTATAATTATTACATGTATAAATATTCTATATATTTAAAAATCTCAATCTTAGATCTCCCTCTCCTCCACATCTATCCAAATATGCCGTTATTGCATCGGATATACGACACGATCGGTCTATAATCTTTTCTGACTCCCATCATGATAGCAACATCGAGGCTAATATCAATCAGATAGGCTAGCGTTTCGGTACGGATTAGCCAGTTTGCGAGTGAAGAAGATTTACGAGACTTCACAGACGACATATTAATTTACGTAAGACTTACCTCGTGTGCTTGATCCTCGATGCTCCGTAGAACCGCGAGATTGCGGATAGTCGCGCGTCGCGACTCGAACGATGACTCCAGCCTGGTGGCAGCCTTACCCACCTCCTCCACCAGTCTTCGGGCTCGTTTCACCGACAATCTAGAAAGATAAAAAGGAACCGTGATCGTGACGCACCGTTAGGAATCCGTGTGGCCGTCTCCTCATGTACAAGCGATCGAACCCTAACCACGAACGAAGGTCAAGATGCAAATCGGAATCGAATGTTTCATCGACTAACGTGTTTCCTTATCTTCGCATTAAAATGTCCTTGGTTGATACATACTTCATAAATACGTAGGAATCAATGAAAGTTTAATGTACCTGCACCCTCAATCAAATTGAATAATTTTGCAAATTTAATGCCTGCTTAATCAGAGAGAGAAATCATTTGCATAATGAATAGATAATAATTCAATGTTACTACAAGTGACATTCAGTATTATATTAATGATTAATTAGAAACAACACATTTAAATAAGCAAAAATTAAACGTTGATATTTAGTTTATAGAAAAATTAAGTTAGGCGAATAATCAAGAAATCATTTTTCATATATGTGTGTGACAAAAAGTATTTTTTAATTTAATTTAAAAGAAAGAAGGTTCCTTTCTTGCGTGATCAATAAAAATAAAAAATTGTACCTAACGTGCTCGATGTGTGAAAGAGGAGCTGCGCGTTCCTCGAGCGCGGCGATGGCCTCTTCGGCATCTCTAGACGTTCTTCTCAATGTGGGGTCCGTGAGGAGCCGACCGAGAGGCGTCAAAGTGCCAGACAGGCTTGTGCATTCCTTCAGGTCCGACATTTCGAGGGCTAATCTGCGACCAGCCGATTGCCACTCCGTCATGAGGCTGTCGTACTCCTACGGGAAATCAAAATACCGATCATGGCGAAATGATGTCTATCTACTTCTCGCGATCTAGCGAAATGTCCTTCATCGGCAACCGGTATCCAGGAGGAATGCCAGCGACGTAAAAGTAGACATGTCTAATACGGCGATTGCGCGATTCAATGAACCGTAATCAATCAATCATTGCAAACCTTACGGGGAATACATTGTTTAAAGAAGTACGTAATGAATGACGCATATCTGTTGCACGTAGAACAAATACGCCGAACTATTATCTCGATGATTTCTTAGCTCCAAGTGCCCGTTCGAATCGTTCCAATCACGTGCGCGCAAATACCAATCGCGTTAGATCAACCCGCGACGTATACGGCGCATGTTCGGAATAGCGATTGATATCGATTTCCGATATAATTAATTTAATACTGCATTTATACATCAAGCTCTACCATAGACATATCTTCGTGACAAGATATATTAATTTTGCCCGATATAAAGTCAAGATTAGAGAAACGTAAAAATTAGATTATCAGCATACTACAACCTCTCATAAACGGAAATAAAAAAAATAAAAAGTATTGTATTATAATATATATATATACATGTATAAAATATGTAATTATCTTCCAACTTTAAAATATTTAATAATCATACATTTACAAGTATACACGTCCGATAGGTTACAGTTACAAGTTCAACCGATATCTTAATTTTGTGAAATTGCCCAGTAGATTAATCAATCTCATATAATAATCGATCTCCGGGTATAAATCCATTATCCCCAGAGATAATCGATGGTTAAATTTCTATCATGGTAGTATTAAAGGACGGCTCGACAACTGTAGAATACATTCGGACAATGCAGAATTATTAATTACGAAAGATAATTACCCAGTATTCTCGTCAAATATATTTTTAATTCCTCTTCTTCATCACAACTTTCGATTAATAATCGATTATTACCCGATTTCACCAATCTTCCTCGACTTTTTATTAACGAACATAAAATTAATAACTCACGATTAAAAATTAAAGTAGCATTAAACTTTATTAGCTTTCATGAGAGATATAATAATAACATCTTCATTAAACTTGATTTAAAGAAATTTAAATGTCTTTAAGAAAATTAAATCCCAAAGAACGTAAAAATACATGCAAGATATAATTTTATTCCAAGAAAATGATTAAAAAATTTTAATAATTAGAATGTAAACACATTTCAATAATGTGGAAAAAAAAAATACTGATTAATTAATAATATTATTGACCAATGCCCACGATCAAGCAATAAATTCTCCGACATTCATTGCGAAAGATTATCGGAATAAGCAGATCGATACAATTATTTCGCTCGACCGACTTTCAGCTATTTATTTCGCTAAATTTGCCGAATCATCATGATGACCCGATCGAAATGGCTTTCCATTGACTGAATGACAAATTGCGATAATAATTTGTCGCGAGATTCACATTACTAAAATGTTTATCTACATTAGTCTTCATGTACTTTATATTATATAATATAATATAAATTATTATTATTACATACTACATTATTATATGATATAATATATTATATATATTGTATAATATATTATTATATAATATAGTGTATAAATTATTTTATGAGAACACTTTATGTTCCCTTTGATCTTCGGTTATTTCAATTAAATTAATGCAATATCGATGGATTTAAGTATTTACTGTGAAAGTATAATTACCTTGTAAAAAGCGATCCATTGCATCTGGTCGTGATTTTCTTCTCGTCTGGGAATATACTTTGCGAGAGTGGCGTCATTCACGATGACGGTCTGAAAGGGAACGTTTATGGCTAATTATAATGTCCCGATAGCATTCAATGATCATACTTATGGAACTGTAAATTACGTTTGTCACAAATACCGAGCTTTAGCTTTTGTAACGATATTCGTTTCGCCCCAACAAAGGAGAGAAATGTCACAATGGAAACCGTGAGGCTATAATGCACCAAGCGACACAATTCCGATACGAAACGCACGTGCGGACGCTTAAGAAGCCAAATATAATACACCATGGAAACTGGATCAGCTCAACGTACAATGAACATCGGGAAACAAAAACGACAAGCGATTGAGCATGATTACTTTCTTGCCTGCGGGAAGGTGCGCTCAATGCCGTCTGAGGATTTAATTGTTCTTCGATATCAAACTCACCTGGACGTTACTGAGAGGTAAGAGAGATTCAATCAGGCCATCCGTTGTTGCAGTACTTCGAAGCACGAGAGTCTGAGCCACGTTGACTCTGCCCTATAAAGACAAGAATTGATTTCTATGACGGTTTCTCAATAAAATCTTTATTCACTCGTGATATTATTCTTACCTGCAACAGGATTACTACTTCGTCTATGAACTCCAGACTCTCCTTAGAATCACCGCGTATGAAAATAGTGAAGCCATCTTTTGTGCAGTCGGAGCTGAAAATTAAAAATAGAAATCAAACATTAATTTGCAATCATAGAGAATGTAATAAAATTATTTCTTGTTTAATTATACAAACCATTTATTTATGGAAAGAATAATTTTGCCAAAGTATCTAAAAATTTACCTAAATAATATGATTGGAGTATTGAAATAATTATAAAAAAACACTCAAGCTGATTGCTAAAATGTCAAAAATTTTTTCCATATTCCTTGTATTTGAATTTCCAACATAATTATTTTGATAGTTCAATAAAATTACTTTCAAGTGTATATCTAGCTAAATGTTTAGATACTTCAGTAAAATCATTTTTTCCGTGTTTGATCATTCTAATGTATAGTGAGATTTTACTCTAGTAAAATCGTCATTATTGTCTCACTATACATTGGTATATCTTGAACAACTTTCAGATGGAATTATGATATATTAAATAAATATTTCCAAAAAAATAAGAACATGAATTTTCACTTCTGTTAAAGTAACAATGTAATTGAAAGTTGGTTCCACGTGTGTGATATTATCGTCATTTCTAAAAATAACCGTTGTGTGTGTCCATCGCTTCGTACATTAGCCGGACAGCCTGCACTTGGCGGTGTTTTCGAGTGCTTATCGAAACTGTACCCCACCGTACACAAGTGCACCGGTCCGTATTTACAAACGTCGAATTTCCTAAGCAAATATTATCGCTTCCGACGAGAAATTCCGTGTGCACACGTAATGCAAGATCTCTCATATATGTTGCTACGATTTCTCCTTCCCGTCGTCATGCCGCGAAATGGAACGTGTCATTCGTTGTGGCGACGCTTTTATAAAACAACGTACACGTGCAGCTCCTGCAAGACATGTCTCGTTATGTATTTTAATCGACATATCGTTTCTCACGATCGCCATTCGCGCACAATGAGTTAATTTTAAGGCGAAGCGCTTAAATCACAGAGAAAACTGGCGCACTTTCGATTTGACATTGTCAAGAGTCTGAATTGCGTTTTATCTACTAAACACAAATAATTTTAATAACTATTAATTCTACATTATTCATATTTCTGATGACACTATATCTCAATATTTTCATTGTTTTCTCTTTAATAATTTACATTTAAATAAAAAAATTGATAATATTTTAGATATTTTTATTAAACAAAGGTAACAAAGGTAAGGTTTATTTACGTTGCAAAATAACTTACTAAATAAATAACTAAATAGAATAATTTGTATGAATAGCTTTCATATATTTAACTCTTTTTTTATAAAGCTGGAGTATCCTAAACAAAAAGAATGATTTTGCTGAAGTACCTACCTAAAAATTTAAACAGATACAGAGATTTGAAAACAATTTTATTGAATCATCAAATAATTATATAAGAAATTCAAGCGTGACAAGCAATATCATTAATTGAATTACTTTTGTATTACAGGAAATCGTTTTAAGAGATTATTATGGTGTTAAAAGGTAACAATGCCGTTGTAATAAAAATGTTGACATTCTAACAACCTTATACATACATAATTATTGTTATAATAAACATTAGTCCAACAAAATTATTTTCAAATCATATCTAATCAAATTTTTAGATTCAACAAAACCGTTCTTTCCGTGTAAACATCACGCGCCAGTAGTAAAAGGTTAATATCAGTTTTCAACCACATTCTCATGGAAATGAGCATTTTAACGTTATTGCTGATTTGAATACTTTTGTACTACCTTTATACTTTTGTGTACTAAGGAAACTTATACATTTTAAGTGACTCGTTATAGTGTCAAAGGGCAACATTGTCGCTGCAATAAATGATTGTATACCTGGAAAATACACCTACAAGGACTATAATACGATAAGAGATCGCATCTTCATAAGCAGTAGCTGAAAATACGCGTAAGCGCAATCTCAGCCGGCTAAACGTAACCCAGTTGTATCGGATATCGTAAATAGCATTAAGTTATGACACGTGGGTGGTTGACATTAAGCATGCAACGTTTCTCACGCGGCTCCCGTGGCACTCACACTCCTCTCTCGTCTTTCTCGCGTATACTGTAATCACGTTCCTCTGCACAACACAGTGGTGCAGTGTCTAGCGGGCACAATGCTGAGCTTTGTATGCACCACTTATATCACGCAGTCTATCCTAAATCGTCATCAACGCGACAAGCCACGAGTCGAGCGCGACGTACATCTCTGCCCCTCGTGTTTGTTCTACTTCCGGTTACGGATTGTTCCTTTGACTTCTCTGTCACGATACACCAAACTCCTCGATTGTACATTATCGGCAAGAGAGAGCGGCTAAGGAGACGCCTATGCAACGTTTCGTGACAACCTTCTCAAATTGCAACTGCGCGACCGAGACTTTCGACTGCGTTACACGTTGCTACTCCCCGTAAAATTTGATAGTGCAAATCATACAGTTGGCCACGAGTCGATGGAGCGGGTACGACCTGTTGGAGTGATAGCGCATAAGATAAAATCAAATCGCAGGTTCTGACTTCCTGTCGTTACACGTCCATTTATGAAGTCACGGCGAAGGTAACCTTCGAACCGAGGAAGATCATATTTCCGGATTTCAGTTCCGTGAAATATTAGGAATGATAAATCATCAACAGACTGTATTTTATCGTTGACTGCGTAAATTGAATATATTAATCTTTTTTATCCATTTTTCATCAATTTTTGGTAATGAGTGTTTGTTTTAATTTATTAATTATTTCAAGCTATTTTTTCTACTTTTATGTCTTAATTGTAACGAGTCGTACATTATACGTTCAAAAATAAAAGATCCTGCGCACAATGAAAGAGATATTTCACTGTAAAAAAGCGAATAAAATCTGTGAATAAAATCACCAAAAAAAGGATAAAATCTGTTATCTATTCTTAAGTATTCAAGAGTGCAAATTTTTTCACTCTTTTTCAATAGTGGAGGATTTCCAATCTTTCGGAATGAAATTTCACTCCAAGAAATATTTTGAGAAATTTTTATTTGTCTATAATATCATATATATTTCTGTTCCTCTAATATTTCTTTCATTATACGCAGGACTTAATTTGATCTGTTCGTATATATAATAAAAAAAATTCTTTTTATATTTTTATTTCTATATAAAACTGAATTGTTTGATATTATTTCTCAACCAGTTATCGTTAATGTTTACCACGCAAGTACTCTCCCGGATGTGGCTCAGTTATTCGCGCGTATTCTCCGCGTATTTTACCGCACGATGATAGATAAGAGGACAGGATCGAACCACCCTTCCTCATCACAATCATCGCGCATCTATTATCGAACCGGCCGTTTCCATGTAACCGTAATGGCACGTACTCGTGGATTTAACGGTGCGGAACAGTCAGATCACAGCGGTCGTTCGTTCTCCGGAACCACCGATCTTGTTGATAAGTAAATCACTTTGATTTCGCCGAGTTAACGTCACGCGACAGCTCACGATCGCGACGCCCACGTCTCGCCTGGCTCGGCGCGTCGGATTCATCAGCGCGTGGTGTAACTGCCGCATGGCGGTTGACGTATGATGGATATAGGCGTTAGCGAGCACGCGTTACAACGTCTCTCGTTCCTCCCGTACGATGCGATTATGCGATTCAACGGCAACAGCAAGAACGAGATCGATAAAACGGCCCCGAAGAGGCTGTGTCGACACTGATCGCCGTTAGCGCGCTTGACAGTTAGTGCTTCGCCTAAATTACACGTCCCACACGTCGAGGGAGCTAATGAAAGGATGCTGCGATATAAGATTTGTCGCTGACCGAGGAGATCCCGTTGCGAGATGCTGAGCCGGGTATGCACGTTTCCTTTCCTAATAGCATTGGACGGTGCTTCCAAGCCAGCGGAAGTCAATGTCACTGGCGAAGTGGCATGGAGCAGCTCAAGGACTTTCATTATGACTGTATGTCTGAGATCATTGAGATGAATTGGTAACATTTACTAATCAATCAATCACTAATTTTTACTTCTACCTTCTGGATGACGATTCAATGGTTTAATAGTGAGCGCTAATATATTATTAAGTATTTTAATATATGACGTTAAATTAATGATGTTGAAACAAATATAAAGCTCATTTAGTGATGAAACAATTCTTTCACACGGAATTATTTCAACATTAAAGATCTAAACTTGACTACTTAGAGTTTATTTAATTTGTCCACATTGCGGTCTAATACGATACTTTTGTATTAAATTATTAAATATAAAATTTACTGTACGTTGAAGAATGCATTTTGCAATCTATAATAGCTATATAATTTTCAATTTTTAATTTGAGTATATAATTTTATAATATATATTTTATAATCCGAAAATTATTATAAAACGTACAACATTGGCGTTTAAAATAAGTTCAAAATATGTTAATTGATACAGATGCAAAATTATGGTACAAAAAGATTTTGAATTATCTAAAAATTTAGCTAGATACAGATCTAAAAATAATTTTGTTTACTCACCATACTTGAGTTTCCTACATAAATATTTTGATGGTCCTAAAAATTATTTTTAGATATTTCATAGCAAAATCACTCTTTCATGTAACTAATGGAAAATTTTCGAGAATCAACTATGTACTCCCAGGAAAAACCTCTCGTATTTAGCACGACTGTCGACCTAGACTCCCGGTGAAACCGGCATCGCATTCGATATCGCAAGAGTTCGTCGTACGTATAAGAGTCCCTAGAAGTAAGAGTCTGGCCAATTTTGTCCTATTTTTTATTGGCTTGATGAAAACTAGCGGAACCAATTAGATGAGGACTGAACACTGTGAAAAAATTGGAAAGCAGATATGCGAACGCCTTATACAGTTGTGTAAGTACACGTATAAATGCACGTGTATGTGCACATATGCGCGCGCGCGCGCGCGTTATTTTTAATTAAACTAGAAGACTGATCAGACTCTTACTTCTAGAGACTCTACGTCGTACGTGCGCATCGTGCTGCACTGCAGCGGAGTCTGAAACCACGTTCGCGTCCTGGGTGGGCAAAGGTTGTCGAACAGAGAGG